GAGTGTCTTAACTTATTGTTTACTACTAACTTTCATTTTTCTGATTATTAAATTTTCTATGGAATGCGTTCTCATTATATTATGTACCATCAAACTTTCTTTTTGTCATTCGAGAAAGTGGCTTGTATAATTAACATACCAATTCAACATTTAAGTCGTGACTGTAATATTTAAAATCGTGAGTGTCATTGATGAAACTTTCTCTTGTGTTCTTGGTGAATAGAAATTGAATTTACGAATTTCAAAATATTTATATTTTTATGATTATGCTTCATTATTAGAAATTCATTATTTGAAACTATAAATTTATTTTAGTTATAAAAATTTGAATATTGAATATGAATATTAAATAACGTGTGCGCATATTTATTTAACTTTCTATAATTTGAAGTGTGTATTTGAATAATAATTTATCAGAATATATGTAGAGGAGAATTTATTCAATGATATTAAAATAGAATAGATATTTGCCATTTTTTATAAATATATTTAATATTTATAATATTTTTTATAATATATTTAATATAAATTATTTTATTATTGAAAGATAATTTTACATAATTTTACATATTTTTTTATATATATCTTAGAATGTGTAATATCTAAAAGGACGATTTCGCCCGTTTTCTATCTTTTCTCTTTTTCTTTCTTCTTTTTTCAATGCGATTGTTTGTAACTTAATAAATTAATTTTAATTTATTATATTTATCATACACATATTAAATTATAACGAAATTACTTATGAATTTTTATAAAAAAATTTGTTTTATTTGAATTAAAAGGTCATTTCTATTTAAAATGAAAATTATTCAAGAAAAAATTTAATCACAAATATGAATATTTATTTAATTCTTATAAAAAAACTATAAAGTATTTTAATTATTTAAAAATATCAAGATAGTGTTTCAAATAAATTAAATTTTAATATTGAATGATATAAATTTTAGATAATACAAATTTATCTATTAATAATTTTATATTATTTAAAATAAAAAATTAAATATGTTATTTTAGGGATTATTCATGAACGTTTTAATGGCAAGGGTTATTATTATTCATGGGTTGATCCAAGAACAAATGGACAAGAACTTGATTGGTTAGCAGGCAGAAATTTCTGTAGACAAAGATGTATGGATCTTGTTTCCTTGGAAACTTCTGCAGAGAATGAATTTATTAAAAGTCGCATTGTTCAAAGTATTGAAATATTTTATATCTATATATTATAAAATCATAGCATTTGAACATGGATAAGAAAAAAATTATAATTTCTAGATAATGTAAAATATATTTGGACATCCGGACGACTTTGTGATTTCAAAGGATGTGACAGGCCTGATCTTCAACCTCTTCATATTAATGGTTGGTTCTGGACTGCAGAACTACAAAAACTTGCCCCTACTACTGATCGCTCTCAAAATGATTGGTCTGAGAGTGGAGGGTAAGTATTCTTTTTTTTGAAAATTTTTAAAAATTAAAAATATTAATATTATATTTTTTCAATATTTAAAATTTAATTTTATAAATATTTTTATTGTACATTATATTGCATTTATAATTTTCAAATATTTTTTTAATTTCTTAAAATTTATAATAAAATTCATGACACATGACAATTTCTTATATAAAGATAAATAAAAATAATAAAAGAACAATTTCCAAGAATCTATTATATTACTTATATCATACAATATATATCAACTTTAATGTGAATAATATTGATATAATAAAATGATACAATAAAATTTTTTTCCTGATAATTTTTCATAATTGTTCTTATTAAATAGGAAATCTTATACAATAAAATTTTGGCACAATTTATTTTAATTTATTTTTACATCAAAAGTGACTTATTTTTTCATTATGTTATAATTAATCAATATCTTACTTTATATGAAATATATTAAAAAAAATATATTATTCAAAAAAAACACAATAAATTATTTTGTCATATTAATAATTAACAAATGACAATATATGTTGTAGAATTGGAAAACCGCAACCTGATAATCGTGAAGCTATACAACAAGGAGGTGCACCAGAAAATTGTTTAGCAGTATTAAATCAATTTTATAATGATGGAGTAAATTGGCATGATGTTGCTTGTCATCATAAAAAACCATGGGTGTGTGAAGATAATGATTCTTTATTGAGATATGTTCACTTTACTAATCCTAATAATCGTAATTAAAGTAAATAAAATATAGTTTATATTATATTTATTGTTATTATACCTGTATACTTATAATTATTTAGTATTTTATGTAAATTCATATCTAACGCTATTGTAAAATTATATATGATATCTGGTGATTAACTCTTTCCTCTTGATTTTAATGATTTTAAAATATATTATAGGACATTATTATACATAAAAAACATTATTTTGACAAAACTGACTTTGGTTTTCGAGTTAGTAATAAAAAAAACTATTGATATTACATTGAACTTTTGGATTCGCGGAATACAAAAATAAAATATAAAACAATTACAATAATTAAAATTTCAATTAGCCTTATTCTTAGTATACTATATTAAATTTTTCTCATATATATGTTATGGAAGAAAATTTTAAAAAAAGTTTTGTTAAAATCTATATATGTATAAAAAAGTAAATTTTCGATATACTTTAATGTACTTTTATAAACAATTGATCAAATGTTTATAGTTGGTCACACATTATCGTACCATTGTTATAAATCATATGTATAGATAAAATTTGATATGTAGAATCGAAAACTAAAATCGATTACCGATTATGTATAAAGAAAAAATTTAATTCAAAATGATATCCTTTGTTATATGATATTTACAAAGATATTTCAAGATCATTAAAATCAATGAAGAGGAAACTTAGTAGATTGATTTTATATATATTTAATTCTTCCAAAATTTAATTTTATTAGTCTATATTATTTCATTGTAAATTATACATACACATATATCATATATAATATAAGTAATTTTAAATATAAAGTACGATACATTAGTAATAAATTAATAGTTGAGATAAAATAGAGATCAAAACAATATTCATTTTTATGAATGTATTAACACTGCCGAAATCAATCAAACTCGCAACTTTTTTTTCGATATTTTGTCAATCAGTAATGTAATATGTATGTGTGTGTGTGTGTGTATTATATTATATTATAGTATGTATATATATATATATATATATAACAT